GCATTAATTGCTTTATTCTTTTACACTACACAGATATAGCATTTTATATGTTAATTTGCCAAAACATTCATAGATATGCTATTTTTTAGCTATCGATGATTGAATGGAAGACCTGGTGAGATGAGCATCAAAAAGTCTCATATATACAGTACATCCGTTGTACTGAGTATATCTGTTATACTCACATTTCAATCTTTTTATAAGATTGAAAACAATTTCATACGTTGAAATTGGTTGTTACCTTCTCATTCCCTTAACCTGAAAAGATTAAATAAGTGGATTTGCAAAGATCTACTTACAATTTCATGATTTGACGGTTTAAACGGAAAATTTCATTCATCTTTTGTATGATAGAATGATTCTCATTTCATCATAAGGGGGAGTATATGTAATAATGAATGAAATATTCATTTCCGAACATTGTTAAAGGGAATCTGATGCAAAGATCAAATATTCATTTCCGAACATTGTTAAAGGGAATCTGATGCAAAGATCAAGGGGGAGTAACTTCGATAATGGCAAAAGACTCATAAGAAGAAGTGCGACTGAAAATGATTAAAGAAAGATTATTTGTGTGCTACAACGACTGAGAGATGTTAAATGTGAAGATCATTTTTCACAATAGTTTACTGAAGAATTGTTTTCTGAAGATCCTTTGAAGATCACATCTTGTACAGTATTTTTGAAGATCATTTTTGAATATGTTCTACATTGTCAAAAGAGAAGATCACCGTGATTCTACATTCGAGGGGGACAATGCTAGAAGATCTTTGTCAACAGTTGATCGTTTGAAGATTACATGTTGAAGATTTCATTTGAAGAAGACATATTGTGCATATTGTTTCAAAGTTCAAACAAGTACTCAAAGCGTAGAATTTTCTTTCAAGTCTGAATACAAAGGGGGAGAATGTTAGGACTGAGAAATCAGTATTAATTGTATTCGTCTTGAAAGTTTATAAATAGTCTATAATTGTAAAAGTCAGTGTGTTTGACTTTTTTCTTATAGAAGTTTGACTTTGACTTTGTTAGTAGGTTTGACCATATAAATAGGTTAATCTTTGTAAGTAGGAGAGAGGAGTTCATTTGTAATAATTTCATACGTAAAGAGAGTTTGACCAAGATTGAGTTGTTGACTTTTCCTCTCTTTGTTCTTAAAGTTCATCTTAGTGTTCTTACATGAATTATCAAGATCTGCCATGATTATTATGATGATATGAAGATTGATCCGTGAAATTGGACTCACAAAGTTGTTCTTCACCTTCTTCATCAATACGATAGATTTAGGTTCATAACATAAATCTTCGTGTTATATTGAGAGAACTGGGATCAATAATTGCTATCAGAGCCAATTAATTGATGTTCAATCAAAACGATCAATTTTGAATTTGAGTATTCAAATCTCTCAATTTTTTGTTCTTTTCTTCTCATTTTTTTTCTCGAAAACTCTCAAATGGCCAACTGGAATTCTGCATACAGTGTTGGATCTCTCACCAAACCTCCAACTTTCAAAGAGAAGAGTATCCCCAATGGAGGATAAGAATGGTAAATTTCCTCGAAGGGATGGACATGAATCATCTTAGATCTGTCCTGGAAGGTCCTTACATACCCCAGACCCTAGTTCCAAGAGTTCTAGGAACAAGCACCATAGAAGAAGTTGCAGCCTACTATATTGTGAAAGATGAAAGTAATTGGGATGAAGACGACATCGAAAGGTAGAAGCTAATAGGAAGGCAAAAAGAATGCTAATTATGGCCATTTTTAGTGAGATTTTTCAATCTCTAGATGCTTGTACTATAGCAAAGGAGACCTGGGATGAGTTGGCAAGACAACTTGAAGGAGGAGCCAAGACAAGGAAGAACCTAAGGGCCCAATGCTTCAATAAATATACAAATTGTAACGCATTACCTAATGTACCGATCCAAAAG